ATTTTTTGGGAAGTTTCCTCCTAAGTTCTCTTACACGTCTTTTTTCTTCATGATACTTTGCTCCTGATACGTAGAAGAATATCAAGTGTTTCTTAAAATTTCAGAATAAAATAGTGTTATTATATCAATGAGATAACTTACGCATTATCTCCGTAAATCTTTCAAAGCAATGTAAAAGTTGGAACAGGTTACTTTTTAACCGATTAATTAACCGGTTAAACGGTTAAGTTAACCGGTTAGAGATTTTTTTTAACCGGCACCTTGACATCCTGGCAAATGATCATCAAAAAGACTAACTGTAAATATCGAAAGCGATTTTCATGCGTAATTATGAAGACTTCGGCCGGAATTACATTCAATCGTGAAATTATTTACAGTTACCCGTGAAATAATTATTACATATAATTCTTTTGAAATTCTTAAATCATTATCAAATATTTTATTGAAAATAAATCTTTTATAATTAGATTGTAAAAGATGTTATTCAAAAATTTGAACCTGCAATGGAGAATGTTCGAATATTAAAAAAAAAAGAAATAATGTCATCTATTCTGGAGTGTCTGTTGGATAAATAATAGGTGGGTTAGGACGAATGGTGGTATAAGTTTATCATAAAAGTTTAAATTCCAGGATATTGACGAGAACAGGGCAAAAGTATCCAGCCAAAAATAATGTTGTAAATTTGTAGATCAAGTTACTAATTTAATTTGATAAATTTCATTAAGTATAAAATTAAATTCTTTAATCAAAATTTTAAATACAAAAGTATAAAGTTAGAAAATATAATTGATGAAATTCAAATTGTTATGTTTCGAAATTAATTAGTTAACGTTAAATTTCAGTATTTCTTTTAATAAAGAATTACAATTATTGATAAATTTATAATTAAATATTAATGATAATATCTTTAGCCCTTTAATTAAATGCAATTCTCAATGGCAAATTAGAAGAAATTTGCCATCCAGCACAATAAATCTTTAGATATAACAATGGCCTCATATTTTTTTTTTTTTATAGAGAAGTATATATAGTCTAACGAATTCATAAATACGGAGATAATAACGTAAAAACATAAATTTTTATATAGAATGATCATGTGAAAAGTTTCTATTTACAAAATCGTTTTCAGACATTAACTATAATAATATCTTAGTATTTTAGAATTAAATTATTTAATAAACATTATGTGATCATTTTTACTGATAATATTTTGTTGCGACCTTTTGATAGTCATACTCAAACAGGAGGTTGGTGATGAGAAGCTAAAAATTTAATGAAGAAAACAGAAATTAATTTTTAAATAAAGTTTGTGAATGAGTTGATATGTACTTGTCCGCCGGTTTTTATCTTTAAAACCAAGGGTTCATATTAAATAATGAAGATTGAATTTGTAAACTATATACATTTCTCATATTTTATATGGGTAGAATATATGATATATTGGATTGAACCATCAAAGAAATGACTGTCAAATGACAGTCAATTTATGTGTTAGAAAATCAAAGTTCTGTTGAGTTATAAGGAATTTTTAGCACTAAGTTAATCGATAATATTTTCGAAGAATTTGACAGCAAACAGCAGTTAAGCCATACGAAGATGATGTTAATTCGGAACATTGCCCTGCTAATAAAATGAATAAATAATTTAAATAGGATAGGAAAGAATGTTAAATTGTTGCTACAAGAGAAATTATAAAAATTTGCCATTTTGCCCACGTACTGTACTGTTGACCGATTTTAGTGCTTTTTTTCATTATATGATTGAGTTTTCGAGAATTTCTGGCACACCTATAATTTTAACGCCATTTTCCATAAATATGAACCGGAACATAACACTTAGACAAAAGGTGGTCAATCCATCAAACCAATTGTATTAAATCCTAAAAGAATGTCTGCAATTAATCTTAAGTTAGAAACTTGCGGTGGTTAGTTTAATCATGCACCTGCACCAGTTGACACAATTGTTCAACCTCTTACTTTTCTTTAATTAAATCGGCATATATTTTTGCATATCTTTTTTAATTGATCTTATATAAAACGCTTGATCAGATCATTACTTCTAAAAAAAAAATAACTTGTAGCTCAATCTAGTTTCTAATTCAGGCTTTTCCTCGACAGTATTACTACCTCTAACTTTACTAAAATTTTATTTTTTCTCGTTCAAATCATGTGTCGTGACCTCATCTGAATACTTAAGCTGTAATTTAACAATAAGAACCGGTTAATTTTTAACTGGATAATTAACCGGTTAAAACGGTTAACATGCGGTTATAGAAAATCTATAACCGTTAAAATATTTCAATTTTCGGTCACTTTTAAGATTTATTTTAATTTTAGCTTTTATCAGAAATATGCATGCTACTCGGTTTTCCTGATAAATTAATAATCCATACTTCATTAGGAGACAACTCATTGAAATCATTTTTTAACAGTTTTAGCTGTTTTAGTAATTTTACAAAGATCGTTTATACTTTCTTTAAAGAAAGACCAGTTCAGTTTCTTAAGATTTCCTCGGATTTAACTAATATTCTCCTATATATTTAAATGGACAAGGTTTTTTAATATATGGGACCTTTGCAATAGAAAAGGGGGAAACGGCCGGAAAAATAAAAAATGAGTTAATGCTAAATCTGAACATATTTTGACCTAAAAATCATATTTGGCATATAAAAGTAAAATTGATTTTTCTGGCCGTTTCCCCCTTTTCTATTGCAAAGGTCCCATATTGTCTCAATTATTCTAAATAAATACAATATTATGCGCTAGTATAATATAACTATCACTCATATATTACATAGAAAGAGACAAATCAATAAAGTTCTAAGAAAAAAGAAGTACAATTAAAACAGAATAATGGTATTCCGTATATTATCGTAAATAATTTTTATTGTCATTAATATTTGAAAAAAAAATGAATTAGTTTTATTTTTTTAAAGACCTAAAGAAATGATGAGTCGGACATATAATTATGCAGATGAAGAATTGCATAATATTACATATTTTAATGAGACAATGTAAATTTATATTGATATATATTATCCTCTTTTTTATAGAAAATATTGGACAGCCATAAAAAGTCGTATACAAAAAAAACTATAATCTAAAATGTATTCAAATATAATCAGTTCTTCATATTATTTTATTTATGATAAAGTCCATTCTATTTTATAGATTCTTTTTCTCACTTAAATTTTTATCAAATTGTCTTCAATATTAAAATAAAAATTTATAAGCTTTGCTGAGAATAATGAGCTTTTCAAAATAGCATTAATTTTGATTCTGAAGGTCGGAATATATAATCTTTCATAACTTTCAAATACGAGAGAAAATATGTAGATATGTAGAATGTGATAAAAATAATAAAATTTAAAAAAATAACGGTTTTATATTCGCTTTCAAGTGAGTTTCTCTTAGCAAAGAAAGTAAAAATTACTAAGTAATTGTATTTTTCAATTTTCGATTTGTTCGTGGTAAAACAGGTGTCTAAAAATAACCTTTAATATTGTGTTACCTTTTTATTTCGTGTTAGGTAATAAGATATGTTTTAGCAATCCTTTGTTTTTTGTTGATTTGCAAGTTGGTGGGTTTTCCTCATCATCTTTTCGTTCATTTTCATTCACGATTTAATAAAATTTATAAAATAATAATTTAACGAACTATTAATGCACCACTCGACTCATCGCTATGTAATAGTTTCCAATAAAAATCCAAATTCCTCTATCTTAAAAGCAAAAATGAATTCTATATATACAAATTGTAACGATATAATTTTTTTCTTAAATCTGAAATTTGATCAACTTCACTTTTAATTAAATTTATTTTGAAATGAAAAGTTTTAAACAGTTGAATGAGTTTTATATATATTTCCCAAACTCATGCTTAGGATTCTCTGAATCAACTATTTAGGATAAATCAAACAAATATTTAATAACTTAAATCGTACTTTATACGATTGCTTATGTAGCAATAGAAATTTATCAGTTTAAAAATATTTTATAAAAAATTTAATAATACGACAGAACTTCAAAATCATTATTTTGAAAAAATTAATAAAAATTTTATTCATTTAAAATTGTTTCTTTTTCTGAAACTGTTTTTACCCTTTCTATTACAGCTCATTTATCTTTAGACCATTCCCATGATTCTAAAAATGAAACATTTCAGAAAAATAAAATAATTGGACTATCCAATTTTCATAAAGACTTATTTGATTAGTATATGTAGACGAAACTTTACTGATAGAAATATAAAAACCTATCTGGTTAATTCAAAAGAGCCGGTTATAATAATCCTGACTCCAACGTTTAAAAATTAAAAAATCCGGATGTAAATCATTCCAGTTCCAAATAAAAATAAAGTACATGATAAGGACAATAATAATATTTTATGAGATAATATTTAAAAAATAATAAATAATATTGCTATTAAAAAAAAAATAATTGAAATTTAAAATCATCTATAAAGCTAACTATCAGATTGTAATTCATCAAAAAAAAAAAAATATTGATATTAATATTAAGTTCCTTAGTATATTTACCAAAAATACAAATAAAAATATATAAATAACATTTGTCTAATAAATTAAATAGAATATTATAAATGTTTACTCAATTCAAGTTACCTAAAAATAATCACCTTTATTTTTTGTCTTCAAATAATTTATTCATTTTAACGCTTTTGTTATCATCTTCTAATTTTCTTTTACCTTTGTTATCTTTTTTTAAAAAATTTTATGATTAATTACAAGAAAAAATAAAATCAAATTTTATTATAATTACCCAATTCTGGATTAATAGATTGGTTAAAAACTAAAAGATAAACAGTAATTCAATTTTATTAGATAAATTTATAAATTATTTCTTTAAAATACCTAAATATAAAATTAAATAACTTACGATTTAAATCAGAATATGAAACTAAAAGATTATTTAGTTCATTAGTTTTTATTTCTAATAAAATTATTATTATAAGTTTATAGTATAAATTTAAATAAATAATATATTAATTTGTAATTAAAGTACCTTCACTAGAAATATTTTTAATACTTGTTTCTGCTTTCATAGATTTTGAATCTTCATAAGTTAAATTATCTTCATCATTGATTTCAAAACCCATTTTTTTAAATTCCTCTAATACTTTTTTAATATTTGGTCTTTTCTCAGGTATAGAATTCCAACAATTTTCATAAAGTTTCTTATAATCTTCAGGAGTGCCTTCTATAGTATTTTCATGGTATCCATTAGGAATATTAAAATAAAGTAAATCCTGATCACATTTACTAGTAAAATTTTTAAATGAAGGAATTCCACTAGAAATTTCCCACATCAATACACCATAACTATAAATATCTGAAGCTTTTTCATATTGAAAACTTAAATCTAAAAG